TAATTTCTTTCTACATATTTCTCTGTCCTTCTGCCTTCTCTTCCTCTTCATGCATGGATATTCATTTCAGTGAAGGAGATGTGCCAAAGTTAAACCCTTCTGCTGAGTCATGGCAGAGGTGATGGCTCCATTGCGACCTGCCATGTGCGATGAATACAAACTGTCTTTGAGAGGGAAAATTGAACCCTGTCACCTCACAGGACACAGACGTGCAGCTTCTCCCGAGTACAGACACTCTCACATGCACAAACACACCTTGCAGGTAGATTGTGCGTGTGGGAGAATAGCTGACTGTGGCAGAATAGAGAGTGAACCCTTCTGGGAGCTCGGTGTCCTTGCTGTCAGGACAGTTAACTTCCTGTGCCGCTCTGACCTCTCAGGCTGTATGGATTTGTGTGTGTGTGTGTGTGGAGTATTCATGAGTTTGTATAGTTCATATTTATTACACCATTTTGTCTCTAATGAATTTCATTCTCAGACTCTGAAGCAGTTTTGTTAATAAAACACATTAGTCATTAGTGCATTAGGGAACATTTTGTTTGGCACTTGGCACATGTTGGTAAAATTGTCTTCTCTGTGGAGTATGTGGCTAGGCATGCCGAAACTAGTCTTAAACATTATAAGAAATTCTTATTTTTAGCTTAAACCTGTGAAACAAAACAAAGAGAGGGACAGAATAATTTCTTTTGGGAATTTTAAATGTAACAAAAATCTTATATATAAAGTATTAAAAGATAATAGTATTTAATGTAAAAAAAAAAAGAATTAGTATTAAATGATTTAGATCAAAGTATAACTTAATATAGGGATATATTTTTTTTTATTTAGTAAAAACAATGAATAAATGTATGCATTTATTTTCTTACCTGAAGACATAACCCAAATCTCATTCACAAGATTAAGTGAGCTTTTCCTGTGTAATAGCCACTCATCTATATACTGTAGAAAGACTATATATAATACTCCTATGCAACTTAGAAGAGTTGTTTGGCTCATCTTTCACAATGAAAAATAAAATATAATTGGTTATTTTTTCTTTTGCTTTGGGTGTAAAATATTAGTCAGACTATTCTTTTTCATGTCAACCTGTTTATTGATTCTTTCATCACAGATGGACCAAAGTGTTAAACCCAAAAAGTGTGTACTTTTGTGGCACCAAACAAATTTGTAATTGCAATAACTACATTTAATTAATGATATGGTTTGTAAGGCTGCAAAAGAATGTTTAAGATTACATTTTAGGCATAAATATTGAAACAAAGATCAAATGATGACTCTATGTAAAGCGGATCAGGCTGAATTAAAAGTAAAAAAAACGTAATTATTAGCTTAGCAGAATGTTTGATACCATCTATATTGATTTGATCTTAAAAGTACAGTAAGCTATTTCTGGCTAAAGACTTGTAGCCAATCAGCAGTAGGGAGGCAAATACACTCATGATTAAGGTGGAAAATGAGCGATTAAAGTCGAGATTTGAAGAGTCACTTTAGAAAAAAGATGGCTGAGAGACATTACAAAAGAGAAAGTTTTACTTGAACAAGAAGGGTTGTGATCAGGCAAGAGCTTTAGGACCTGCGTAAATGCTAGAAAATCTTTCCAGCTCTGGAGAGACTTATGGCCTCAGATTACACAGAGGTTGCGTTGTTTCTGCTCCATATGCGAGTAACAACAAATTCCCGCTTGTGTATATACTGTACTGAATGTTTTTGAGTGTTGTTCTTATTTTGATTAGCTTCGGCTATGATGGTGACATCCACTCTTACATTGCATGTTTGTGGGTTTGTTTGGGTTGATTTCAAATTTCAAAAGTGATTCTCTGAAATTGCTTACTGCACCTTTAAGGTGGTGTATCTCTTTTTTTTCAATGCTTTTGTACCCTTCAGTCATATAAGTGACACTGTATTGGATCAAAGCAGGAACTGCATGGCTTGTTTGTTATGAATCCAGTGATTTAAGGATGGAGAGGTCTGCATTTTGGCATTCCCAATGACTCAGTGGCCTAAAAATGCCTTTGTTTAAATGCTGATGGAATAAAGTTAGTCAACATTTACAGATTGAAATCCTCTAGATCATTTCCTCTCTTGCTCATCCATTCCTGTGAGGTCATCTTTTGGGTTTCCTAACCAACTGGTGCTGATGAATATGTAGATAACTACTTCCAAACGTCCTCTATGATTGTTATTTGGCACATTTTGTCACTTCTCTTCTTCCTACTTTTGCAGTCACAAAGAGGATGTACCGTCGAGACAAAAGAGGGTGGGTCGTTGCTGGCAAGACAAACTCTCCGGCGGAATGTTTGGAGTCTGTTGCCAAGCAATACGGCGGGGTTTGATTTACGATTACATCTTCCGACCGGCAGCTTGTTGCAATTAGCTTTGTCGTTTGAGAAGCCGAGTGAGCGAGCGGGATGGGTGTGTGCGTACAGTTTTTCTGTTTATTTGACTGAAAATGCCTCAGTATTCTCTTCACTGATCTTTCACACCGCCTGTTGCGTTTAACATTTATCTGTACCCTCTGTTTTGAAACTTTTCTTTTGCTTTCTATCGATTACAGATTCCATGTCTTCCTCTGAGCTGGTCACTGTATAACATGGATGGTCTTCTGCAGATTAAATCCAGATATTTAGTTTGTTTGAAGTGTTGCTCTGAATGGACCAAAGCGACGCGGTTGCATGAGGAGCTGGTTTTAATTCTCAGATTCAGGTCAGGAATCGGCCAGCCATCATACATGAATGTGTTTGTTGGAGAAACTCATACTCTAACAAAGGAACCCCAAGTTTAAGAAGACCCTTAAAGGAAGCTCTGACAGATCTTAATGTGTTTATGGTGCTAAAGCTTTGTTCACTAGGTAACAACCCTAAAGAACAGACTTTTCAGTTTGATGTGTACTTAAGATGAAGCTTATTGTGGATATTTTATTCATTGTAAACTCCTGAAAGGATTCAATGGGTACTGATTGTAGACAATATTGAAAAGTCTTAAAATAAAATCATATTAAATACAAAACCAGTAGATTAATCATTGATTGTTTTGGACCTCATTAACTTTAAAACAAAATTTATTTTAGTTTCATATCAAAATTTTAAATGTTTATTTTTAAGTACGTAATCCAACCGAATATTGGACAAACCCTGACCGAATATTCATTTTGGGGGTAGCAACTGGATAGCAGCACATTGTACCGAAATTTCCAAAATGATATTGTGCTGAAGTAAATTGTTGGTACTGTGGTACCTCTGTACACTCCAGGAGATGATTGATGTGCTGTTGATGTGGGAATCCAGAGAAGATCCTCCCAGATGATTTTAATTCCATCATATCCCAGCAGAACACATTGATTTGCCTCAGTCGCCACATGTTAGAGAACGCGTGCGACTGCGCAGTGTTCGCGTGTCTGTGTGCTACGTGGTTTCAGAGGCTGCGGGCACAGCTGTCTGGGTGTAATAAGACACACAGGTTGTCCTCGTGTGGCCTTTGTTGTTTCATTGGCATCTTTTAGCTCTCGTCTCTCCCTTGGTCTCGTCTCGCAGTCTTATCCGCACACTCCCCTATTGCACTCATTTCACACACGCACACCCTCTTTCAAACATAATTAAGCTTTTGTTCAGCAAATGGAAAATGGAAAAAAATGATGACGGGCTGAGTGATGGAAGGTAGGCAAACGGAAAGGGAGAGAAGGAGGTATGGCGCAGAACACTCAAGAGTTTTTGTGGTGAATGCCCGTGTTGTTCCTATTTTAAAGCCCTATGGCCCCAGTGGCTGCGCAGACCGGTGCTTCTGACGGTCAACCATTGTTCTGCGCACCATCAAATCAGCCTGACTTTAGTTTTTTTTTCTCTAGTCTGTTGTGGCTCCATTGTTCAACTTGAGGTTAGAGTAAAAAAACCCCAAAAAAACAGGCAAATGAAATGAAACAAATTCATGGGTAAAAATAAAAATATCCCTGTATGGGTTGTTTTAAAATTATGGAGACACCTACATATGTTGTGCCACAGTTGCATATACAATGTAGTACTATTTTATATTTTTCTACATTATCTAGTAGTATAGTTAAATACAATTAATATTAATTTATAGACAGTATGTAGTCATTCGTAGGGCTGTCAAATGATTAATCGAGATTAATCGCATCCAAAATAAAAGTTTGTGTTTACATAATATATGTGGGTGCACTGTGTATAATTATTTTACGTATATAAATACACACACATGCTTTCATATATTTTTGAAATATTTTCATGTATATGCTGTATTTAGATTTATATATAATTTAGATTATATATAAATTTAAATATTTTATATATAAAGAATATTTTTTCCTTAAATATACATGCGTGTGTGTTTCTTTATTTATTTATATATATATATATATATATAATTATACACAGTGGACCCATATATATTATGTGTAAACAAACTTTTATTTTGGATGTGATTAATCGCGATTAATTGTTTGACAGCCCTAGGAAAAAAAAAAACATTTGGCCAGTTTAATGAAATGGTTTTCGTGTTTTATTTCTTAAATTTGATTTAAATTCCTATTTTGTTTAATTTATTTCTAATTTTCAGTCTGGCTTTAGTTTTAATCTCTTTCTCTCGCTCTCGTTCTCTCTTTCTCTCTCGCTCTGCTTCCATAGTTCCTGACCCATTTTTAGACTTTTTTTTTTTTTTTTTTTTACGAAATCAGAGTTTTTGCAGCAAGTCAAATGTTAGAGATAATTTTAGCCTCCCTCCAGCACAATAAAACTTTATTTCATTCACTCTTCCTACAGCACAGCAAATTACACCAGCTAACCGATGTATCCATCTCCTTGTCAGACGTCTAAGCAAAAGGGAATTTTTCTCATTTGGAATTAGGAGCTGGGCTAAGAGACCTTGGCATCTGATTGATTAAGAGCTTGGACGGGATAAAAACGGATTTGTCAGTAGAAAAGCAGAAAAGAACTCTTGAGCACTTATCCACCATTTCAACTAACTATGTCTTCTTTTCTGTCCCCTAGGTGTGGTGTATGGCAGTCAGGTGGTTGTCCCCCCTAAGGTGAATGCTGTGTTGGGAAAGAACGTCACCCTCAGCTGCAGGGTGCAGGTGGACACAAACCTCAGCCTGACGCAGAGCTCCTGGGAGAGGAAGCTGCCCACTGGATGGGTGACTATGGCCGTGTACAACCCCATGTTTGGCATCTCCATCCCTCCTGAATATGAGCGACGCCTGTCCTTCCGCTCGCCCTCTATGCATGACGCCACCATCATGCTGGAAGATGTGGGTTTCGCTGACATCGGCGTGTACACCTGCAAGGTTGCCACCTTTCCGCTGGGCAACACACAGGCCTCCACCACCGTCAGCGTCCTAGGTAACTTGAGACGGTGTGTCTGTATGCAGTTTGTTTTTGCAGTCTGATTAAGTTAGATTATGCACATAGCGTGGTTCTTGTGTATTAATGATAAAGTGCCATGACAAACCTTTTGCATGTGCGCGGTCGACAAACAAAGAAAGGCGTGCGAGTGGATGCGCGTCACAGCTGCTGATTTGTGTAAGTGGGTAAGTATGCAGCGTGTGTGTGCGAAAGGGTGGAAAAACATTAAGAGCCACTCCAGGGCAGGAATGAAAGCAGTGTTTTGGGAGACCGTCCAGCTCTTTCAGAGAACATGGTGATGTTTAAACTCTCTTCCTCCACCAAACCCCCAGAGCCATCTGCTCTGCTAAACACGGATACAACTGAACGAAGCTGTGTGCTTTTGTTATCTGGATGTACAAAGGAGACGATGAGGAAGCTTACAAGCACAGTGCTTTATGTTAGGTGTATCAATTATGTATTGCACTATGGGGGCATGAGGAGAGTCGCCGTTTTCTTCTGTTAGCTGAAGATGAAGGTTACACAGTGAAACATCGTCAGATGCTTCAAGAACAGACTTCAGCGAGAGTTAAATGAAATTAAAATATTTACTTTATTTTCAAATGAAATATAAAAATTAACCTTGAATGTGTTGTTTTAGATTGATGACATTTTTCTAAATGCTGTTTATTGAAATTTTTATTCATCCAAGAAGCGCCATTACCACAAAAATCTTAAGCTGCAAAAACTTTTTCAACATTGATAATCATAATGATAACAAATGTTTATTGAGAAGCAAATCAGCATATTATTAGAAGGATTTCTGAAGGACCATGTGAGCCTGAAGACTTGAGTAATGATGCTGAAAATTCTGCTTTACCATCATGCAAATAAATTATATTTTTAAAATATTTTAAAATAGAAAAATGGGTCCCACTTTATATTAAGTGGCTTTAAGTACTATGTACTTTCATTGAAACGAATAATTTGATACATTTGTGTACATACATGTTTTCACATTGTACTTATATTTTTAAAATACCAGCATGTAATTGCAGCTGTAACTAATTTATGTAATAACATCTGTAATTACACAGCTGATCTATTCCTTACACTTTAACCTACCCTTAAACCGACCCATACCACCACACCTGTCCCTAACCATACCCAGATCACACCTCAATAGCAGCAAAAGTGATTTACAATACAACATGAGCACAACAAGTACATTGTACTTATTTTTCAATGTAAGTAGATAGTACTTTAAGCCACTTAATATAAAGTGGGACCCAAAAAATGTTATTTTAAATAATCTATATCTAGTTTAATCAAGTTTTAAAAAATACGTTTTAATTTATGCCGCTAACATCAAGTGTAGATGTCTTGTTAGAGTAATAAATGACAAGCAGACAGACAAGTTTTGTGAAGGTTCATAAAGCACAAGCAAAACATAAATTGAAAAAGATGATGTCAGATATAATGAGCTGTGCAATTGGAGGAAAATCGTTATGTAAATGAGAGCAGAGACGAACAAAGACTGAGTGCTTTAATGGACGGGGAGAGATGGGGGGGAGACGGGGAGTGTATGAGTATGGGAAATATGGGATTCATTGCACTTTAGGGTCAAGGATGTCATTGCGAAGTCCTCTTGAATGTTTTTAAAAGTGACACAAGATTTGCCGCACACATGGGCATAGATCACATATTACTAACACAGGCACTGTCATGACGCTGTGTATCACTGCGTCACTCACCACACACCAGTGAACCGTTGAAGGTGCGACGACCACAGTCTACTGCTACTGTTGTCTCTGAATGTCAGCTGCCAATGTTAATACTTCACAAGATGGGAGGGAGAAACAAAGGCTAGTCAATGAGTATTGATGCATTCGGTCCCTGTCCATTCACTTCTGCAAATTAATATTTATTATAGGGCAGACTATCGCCAACTACCTCATAATATGATGCACATTTTGATGCTAAATGATGGTATAAGTCCAAACTAGCTTCAATTTTACTGAGCTGTTTTTCATTACATAAGACATCACCATAAAGTGTCCAAATGCCTTTAATTTTGTATGAAATGATATGCATACCTGTATTTGAGAGAGGTTATCATGATGCACCACTGTTTGAAAGTAGTTTTTTTGAGAAATGGTAACACTTTACTTGTAGAGGTGTGCATAAGACTGACATGACACCTTCATAATCATGACAGGAAATGCTTGTGCATGTTTATGACAACTCTCATTGTCATTCGCTCAATTAATGCAAATATGACATTGTTTGAGATGCCTTTATGACACCTTGACATAAACCAATACATCATAACCTATGAGTGTCTTCCATGACAACTTGACATTACTAAGACAACACAACCTGTCATAAATGTGTCATAAACATGACTTGGCAGATTAATGATCAAACTTTAGAAACCACTTTATGGGCTAGGTGTCATGTCGGTCTTATGCACACCCCTTCAAGTAAAGTGTTACCAAATCATTTCAAATAAATCCTGTTCTTTTGAACTTTCTATTCCAAGAATCCTGAAAAACATGCATCACTGTTTCCACAAAAAAAAAAAAAAAAAAATTAGAAACACAATGGTTCTAACATTAATGATAATAAAAAAAATTGCATCAGCTTTGTCACAGGAATACAATTAATTTTAAGATATATTAAAATAGAAAACGGTTATTTTAAGTATTAAGAAGTATTTTTTCTTCACAGCATTCTGTAGTTTTGATAAATGCACCTTTGGTAATCATAAGAAACTTACAATACCATTTAAAAGTTTAGGGTCGGCAAGATTTTTGTACCTCAATATGATTTGTATTATCACAGCCCTTCTTGACTTAGTGGGCCTCCCTTGTCACAGAGGCCTGGAAAATGTTCCCATTCATCTCCCACCTTTTGATGACACTGAGCGGAGGAACGGAAGGGGAGAGCGCCCCACACGTTAAGTTTCTGTCAGCCTCCGCAAAGCTCAGTTTCCCAGCCCTGAACACTGCTGGATTCATAATGGCTCGCACACGCCCAAGCCCCGCCCCTTCTGCCATGTAAACTGGATAAGCCATTAAAACCAATAATTTCATCTTCTCTGGAAAAGCACTTAGTGCTCTCTGATGAGAAACCGAGGCCGCCCTCAGCCGGTAGTTACCATAAGGGTTTTTTTTTATTTCAGTCTGATAAGTCTTTTATTTCTTAAAGAAAATCGAATTATTCTCTCAATCATGCTTATCAGTTTATGAATATATTGGCTGTGGAACCAGAGTAATTCTTAATGCTGAAAGAATTAGGTTTTATTTAGCTTTGTACTGGATTTCCTTTAGCTCGGTTCATTATCTAGATATGTCGTTCGAGTAATCGTGTGATCATGTCTCCTCACATTAAAGTGCAGAATTAAACGCGAGCAGTGTGGTCCATGTAACTCATATGTCTCTGTCTGTCTTAGTGGAGCCGAAGGTGTATGTCTCGGCCGGATCGTCCGCTCTGATCGACGGTGGCAATGAAACTACGGTGGCCACATGCATCGCTGAGAGGGCTCGACCCCCTGCTGAGGTCTCCTGGGAAACTAATCTGTACGGCACGTCTGAGGCCCACATGCAGGACGATGCCAACGGCACCACTACAACCCAGGTGCACTACACCTGGCAGCCCTCCCGTCACTCCCAAGGACACACGCTAACATGTGTGGTGAAACATCCCGCTCTGCAGAGCGACTTCAGGATACCCTATATTGTCAATGTACAGTGTGAGTATCACATATTTTTTCTTTTAAAGGTTTGAATTGAGCAAATTTACCAGACATAAAGTATTCCTTACTTGCAGCTTTGTTTCTTGTTTCTATTTTCATTTGCTCACATCACTTGCATCAAAAAAAAAACCATGTAGTCTTAAAGGGTTAGTTCACCCAAAAATAAAAAATCTGTCAGTATTTACTCACCCTCATGTTGTTCCAAACCTCTATGTGTCTATTTGTTCTGCTGAACACAAAGGAAGATATTTGGAAGAATGTTTTAATCAAACAGATCTCATTCCCCATTGACTACCATAGTATGTATTTTTTCCTACTATGGTAGTCAATGGGGAATGAGATATGTTTGATTAAAACTATCTTCCTTTGTGTTCAGCAGAACAACTAAACACATAGAGGTTTGGAACAACATGAGGGTGAGTAAATACTGACAGAATTTTCATTTTTGGGTGAACTAACCCTTTAATAAAGTTATCACCCAATTGGCTGCTAAACTTATCTACTCACCAAATGTACTTGCTCCTGTGTGCACGCAAGCCTGTTTTGGTTTGCTTGATGTAGAACAACAAACCCAAAGTAGCTTCTCCATGAAGATTTCACAGTAACTTGTGTGTTTTTTCTTCTGTACCAAGTCAAAGCAGTCAGATTTATGTCTAGAGCCTACATCTGTTTTCCAAATCACCCCAGTGCGGTAACTATCCATATGACATGATGTCTTGATGCTGTCTTGTGCGTGATGGAGCTAAAAGCTCTTTCACTAGGTCACTAGGTTCTTGTGAATAAGGGTATTGATGCTTCAGACGAAAGATTTGTCAGCGTCATTTAACGATTTCTGCACAGACTTCTAAGCACCATTGAGCAGTGAGGAAGGCGGTGGTGGCGAGTGCATAAGCGCAGGTTTCTCTTAAATGAAATATAGATGTTGTGGTGAGGGGCAGGTACAGGAAGCAGCCGATGTAGCGAGGATGGGAAGGGAGAGGTCACATCAGTCATGGGACGAGGCTATACTCACGAAAGCTTCTTTCATTCATTTTCCATCAGTCTTTTTCATCTCATTTGGTCTACGTGACATTTTAATTCAGCACGCTCACTTAAAGAGCTTTTCTAAAGGCACAAATCAATACAGTGTCCATAGTCTTTGTAAGTGGTCTTGTACTTTTCTGGGCAGACATAGAGTCCTAATGGTGAATTGTTTCTTTATGATCAATTAGCATTAATATAGTTGTTGTGTCATAAATTACTACTTATCTGTCTGTCTTTCCGGCCGTCATACATTTGTTACATTTTAATCCAATCAAATGCTCTCTAGTATGAGAATGCCCTCCCCCCTAATACATAACCTACTGTAGCAGATAGCAAAATCATGATTTATGGCTGTGATGCAACTAAAACCTATTGGGTATTTAAAAAACAGGGACCTTTGATATGCAGTGCCAAATCTTCCTATTCTAATAGGAGACGCGTCAACAGGGGAGCAGAAAACTGCACTCGTTATGTCATTTCATAGGGTCTTTAACAAGGACAGCCTTACCTTACCTTTCTTACACTACTCTGAATGAACCCATTGTGCATTTTGTGTGTATGTGTGTGTGCGCAGTTGCTCCAGACATCCTGGTGCTGGGCTATGACGGCGACTGGTATGTGGGCAGGGAGAATGTGCAACTAAAGTGTCGAGCCAAGGCCAACCCGCCTGCCCAGCACTTAAGATGGATCAGGTGTGTAACCACTACACTCACAATAGCCACAGCACAGCATGTCTGGTATGGGTTCAAGAGTGCTAATGCCGGTTTCCTGGACTCCTCTCAATCAGCAGATAATCTCTATGATTCACAACACCAATAGTTACTTTCAAACTGTCAGGTTTCAATGCAAATGAACCAGTTTCAAGTGTGACTGCCCAAACATTGTACTCATTCAAAGTAAATCAGTTCTCTGCCACTAATATATTAATGTTTTTCAGTATTGTTTGCGCATTTGAAATATTTGAAAGTCAATCGTGTGCTTAAAGGGATAATTCACTTTGAAAATAATTTTTGATATGGGTAACACTTTACAATAAGGTTCATTAGTTAACATTAGTTAACTACATTAGTTAACATGTTAGTTAATATTAATTCCAACATTTACTAATACGTTATTAAAATCAAAGGTTCTATTAGTTAACATTAGTTAATGGACTGTGAACTAACATGAACGCACTATGAACAGCTGTATTTATATTAACTAACATTAACAAAGATTAATAAACACTGTAACTAATGCATTGCTCATCGTTAGTTCATGTTAGTTAATGCATTTACTAATGTTAACTAATGAACCTTATTGTAAAGTGTTACCTTGACATGTTTAAGCTTACCTCAAGGGCATCCAAGATATAGGTGTCTTTGTTTCCACAGCATTTTCAATTTTGACATTTTTTTGGTCAAACCGTTGTTGTCTGTAAGTCCTTTAATGCAGTTTTAGGGCCTATAATTTGCTTTTTATAGTTTATTATAATGCCTATAATTTGCAGTTGTTTCCTTATCTCGTCCAACTCATCCATTTCACAAAAAATCAACTACAATTTTAAGTCTAACTTTTGACTGACTGTAAATTACTAATGCTACTAACATTTTCCACAGTGTCTGTACAGGTGAAAGATCTCGCTATTTGGAAGCAATTTGACATGTTTTGTATGTTGTAGGTTGGATGGAGAGATGCCAGATGGAGCAGAGGTGCTGAATAACTCTTTGGTTTTTATGAGGCCCCTGCAGAAGAACGACTCTGGCGTTTACAGGTGTGAGGTGGCAAACGATATCGGACTGCGCAGTCGAGACATTAGAGTACGCATTCAGGGTGAGTGAGAGACTTAATAATTATTTTTCCCATGTGAAGCTGGAGAAACAATTAATAAGCAACACAACTTAACCAGTCAAATTTATTGAAATGTTGGCTTAAATCCAAAACAAAAATTTACTTCTTGCATTAATTCTTTCATTTACTCATTTCAAGGAAGATGTTTCTTAATGTTTCCTTCTCTGGAACCCACCTATCTCACATCACTTCAGTTAAACGGATCCATTTTTTTAGGCACATAAGCTCCCAATCATTAGCGCGTGGCCTTTGCCTCAAGGGCATTGGCCCTCCATTAAGTTCAGCTTTGGCGAAAAGTTTTATTTATTTATTTTTTATTGGGTTTCTTGAGTCATTATCAAATTGGCCTCTGAAACAGGTATTCGCTGTCAAACTCCATAGTGTTTATCTCCTATCATTTTTGTGTAAACATTAAACATTTGAATCCTGCTGTTTAATTAGTTTCTGTGATAGAGACACACATTGATTCCCCCCCCCCCCCCCTTCCCCATCTTTCTCCCTCCCTCGTGCACACTTATGTCTCTGAGACTGTCACGCAGTTATACAAGTGGAGAATAGAGCGGAAGCAACCTTGACTGAGAGATGTCCTAGATTCATGAAACATTCACCAGCTCTTTTCAACCACCATTAATTATGCATTTTCTTTCCTTCTTTTTTCAAAAAACTTTTTAATGCTCTCCCCTTGAGAAAGATTCAGCATATGCATGCATGAAGCTATGTGTTTCTGTTTGTTGTTTGCGTGTGGCTGTTAAATGTCAACGTTGTCTGCCTATATCTTTTTTTAAGAGTCCCTTTGCGTCAGTTGTTTGAGTCGTGATGTTTCTAATAGAATGTCTACTGCTACTGTTTGCTTATTGACTGAGTGACTGTGGGTGTCTGCTGTTAGTCACTGATCTTTGTGCATGATTATGGGTGGGCAGAACCTGTCCTGCATGTAAAACACCCTGCCACTACCTGTGTGGTCACCAGATACTGTACACACCCACACACTCCCTCCAGATGGACCAAGCACATTTAGGTTTGAATATGTAGTGTACGGACAGGCATGGGTTAACACTGTACATAATTTGTGATAAAATCTGGATTTTATAGAGGCACAGAGAAGAGAAGCATGAAAGGGGGAGGGATTTCTGACCTTTCTGTGACTTGCCCTCTCTTTATGTCCTGTTCTCTTCCTTTCTGGACATTGACGTGCTGAGGCGAGAAGCTCTAGTGTTTATTGATTGAAACAAATGACTCGCTGGGTAAAATTGAATAAATTAAATTAAATTGACATTATCCATGGCTTGCGGTTTAAGGGGATAGTTCACACAAAAATTAAAATTCTGTCAATATTTACTCATCGTCATGTTGTTGCAAACTTGTATGACTATTTCTTCTGTGACTCAAATATTGTTTGAAGAATGTTCGTGCCATTTCTTTATTTATTTTATTTTTTCATACAACTGTGGTTCATGGTGTTAATCTCCAAAAATGCACTATAATCATAGTCTTCTGAAGCATTCTGAATTAGAATTTGAGGAACTGTCCAAGATGTTAATCATTATATTTATATATATTTCAAATACAGTTTATTTTAGAGCTACGGAATCTTTGAGTCAATGCGTTGAAGTCCTGGTTAATGAACAAACCATCCAGAATCTTTAATCATTCAGACCTAGTTCATTGAAAAATCGTGGAAAATAGCTGTAAATTTTCTTCAGAAATTGTCTTTGTATTGCACTCAAAGAAATAATTACATACAGGCTTGGTACAGGGGTGAGTAAATAATGACAGCCATGGTGGTTTGCACCAGTACAACTTGTACTGGGCCCTGTACCATGTTAGGGGAGGCCTTGGTAACTACTTCGATTTTTTTTAGGTGAACTATCCCTGTGGTTAAATGTTTGCAACAAATGTTTGCGCTGGGAATACTGTGGGAGTCCAAAAAAAGTCACTTTTTTTGTTTCCAAAAGAATAAATGACACATTTTAGTTTTTTTCTGAACCTTATAGCTGCTCTTTCCTACATACGGTACATACACATTCTCTCACCAGACCCACAGATGCATCCAAATTACATTTGACCTTGCGGGAACAATACGGTCCAGGAATGCTTTATGTATGCAACGTTTATTATTTATTCCAGTGAGGATGAGCAAATTATTCCCCACTTTAGCTGGAGCATTTGAACCACGTAACCCTGAAGAGCTTGCAGCCCTGACTCCTGCGACTCGCACGTCTGCACTCAATGCATTCACACACTTCACAGCCAGCCAAATAGTTCTCATTGTGCCGGGAACAGGACACTCCGTAATGGAATAGTTTGACTTTCAGCTCCCAGCCTCAGAGAACGCTGCTTGCATTGTACAGATGCATGCTCCAGAATGAAACGCAACACGCTGCTCCCTAACACAATCAAGCGATCAATGCATGATAATGGCGTTAGCTCAGGCTCCTATCCTTGCACCAGTCATGTCATGTTAGCAGGGTATTCTCGATGTCTGTTCCCTCCCCTCCCCCAGTAGCTCGTACCCTTTCACTGACCCCTTCCTTCCATTTTGTTGTTTTTTCTAATCACTCAGCTATGTGGTCATCCATACTCCCTCTCTCAGCTAACACAAATGTTGCTCGTTAGGTTTCATTGTTGCAGACGACTGTACTTCGTTGTTAGCTGGAGATGCTAGTATGTAGCTCCTCATATCATGAAGATCTCAACTCTTCTTTCACTTTCACGTTTTTTTTTTCTAGTCTTTGCTCTGGACAACAGTTTTAGGTTTTGAAGCTGTCGGAAGGTTTGCAATCACTTCCTGTCAATAAGAGATCTGATCCAAAACCTGAAACTGTCACGTCCATGGCAACTGTTGGTCATTCTAGATGTTACGCTAGAAGATGTTACAGATTCATATGACTGTTAATGATATGCGGATGTAGTTGGCATTGACATTATCTACTTTTCTTTGTCTGTCCATCCCTTCCTCCTGCCCCCTTCCCTCTTGCCTTTCCTTCCTTCCCTCCATTAGATCCTCCCTCAACCACCACCATGCCCCCCACCACCCCTGTGCGCCTCCTAACCGCCGACATCTCTGCCACCGCACCTGGCAATAAACAGCGAGCCCTCATCACCTCTCCAACCCTGGCGCCGCTGCCGGAGGGAAGCCTAGGCTCAATTGTGGGTGGGGCAGTGGGCGGAGCCCTCTTCCTGCTGTTGCTGCTCATTCTGGGTGGAGTTTATTACCAGCGTCAGCGGCGGACTTTCCGCGGCGACTACTACACAAAGCAGTATCACGGCCCCTCGGACATGCAGAAGGCTCCCCAGCCCCATGAGTTGCAGCAAGTCTACAGCAAGGAAAGCCCTGACACCAAGCTCAAATCCAACCAGGATAACGGCTCCATCTACCCGGATAAGGATCGAGAAGAGTGGGGTGATTTTGACCGAGAGCGATCACCCAATGGTCGCAGTAGAGCCTTGAGGGAAGCCGGCGGTCAACTCAACCACCATAACCATCACAACCATGAGCACGTCTACCCCAACAACCGCCACCATCCGCAGACCTTAAGCCCAGCCCATCACATCCAGAGGAGCTCGTTGCAGCCAGAGCCCCGCAGGTACGCCGCTCCGCAAGTCATGAGCAACGGCTCCCCCTACATGCCAGAGGACTGCTACGACAATGACTACGTGTCGCACACCGATGGCTCGATGATCTCGCGGAGGGAGTGGTATGTCTGAGATGGATGAGCAGGAAGAGACTGCATAGACACTTGAAATGCTTCAGACTGCAAAATGATACAAGGATGAACAGAGTTATGTAAAGAAAATTAGTAGGAAATGCACCTTTTCTAGTAGTTTACACATACCTATTTGTTTTTGTACATTAGCCTAATCATTAGTTAGCTCTTCATAGCTAGCTGGTTTAAAGGATGTTTTGGGACCAAAAGAGGCTATAATTGTTGTCTTCATTTGTTAAGGTCAGGCAAAAAGACGTTGTCGAGATGTTTCAGGGGTGATTTAATTTGGGTTTTCTTGCCAAATCAATAGCCAATCTCCTTTTCTTTGCACAGGAAGTTGTACTGTGTGATTTATTTAAAAGAAAGTCTCTACAAAAAAAGAAAGGCATTCGAACAAATGCAATTTGTATTCAGATAACCTGTCGATAAGTGTTTCAGTACAGCCCTGATGCAAGCGATGCGTTTCGATGAATCACGTCAACTTTTAATGCTGTCACTCTGATGGAGGCAGAAATTAGCTCCTGTCAACAGCCTGGCGGTTTCCATGGCAACATTTATTTCCTCTCTTCTGGCATTCAGAGTTGGAGTGCTTTGGGGAGGTGCTAGACAGGGAGGACTGTGCTGGATTTGATAAAGTCCAATGGGAGAAAGCCAGACAGGATGATTGCCGAAATGGGGTGCTGTTATTGTATCAATTCAGCTTCTATTTGCATACCACTGTGTCACTGTTAGCTCTGGATTTCCTTTGTTTGTGCCATCAGAAATGTTTGCCGCTGTGCGAGTCTGTCTGCAAATGAGATTGTTGGACAATGTCTCGAACATCGAAAACTACTGCCATTGTTCAACACGAAAGCTCGTCCCGTGTTAATGTAGCCGTCTGGCTCGTCTTCGTCAGACCATCACTGCCTAGTGTTAACGACGTCCGACTTCATTCAGCGGCTTGCGTTACGTCACAAATCAAGTCGTTTGCCTGTCTCTTGTGTTTCTGTGTGTTTTCTGTGTCTGTCTGTAATATATAAATCCAATCAGCTAGTGTTAACGACAGTGTTTTGATGAATTTTCCTCATTGTCTGTGCAATAGTGTTAAGATTTCTGGCCTCAAATCTCACACATTTACGCACATAATTTAACGCAGAAGACGATAGCCTAACACTCGTGTTATTGGTCGTTCATTTTTAGTGTTGGCTGGATCTTAATAAGCTAGCAGATGCATATGGTTGGGTTTTGAGATGAAATTGCAGTGCCTTAAACTGAAGACGTGCCCTGTAAGCATTATAACCTTACAAACGAGTGAGTATCATTCTCAGAAGTAGTTTTTGAGGCATATATAATGGTCAGGATGGGCCCTGGGATCATTATTTTGTACTGTCATTTGTTTTCTGTGCCATTTGCTTTTTGCAGATTTTCTAACTAATTGTTGTGCTCGCATTAAATGACATGTGACACTTGAGTTACAGTGCACATCAAAGAGTTAAGTAAAACAAAATATGTATGTGTACAGGTTTGGACAATGCAAAGATGAAGAATTCAATGTAAACAAGGTTGTTATGTATATATGCTGGCAGTTCGGTGAACCTTGTTTTGTTTGTTAGTTTGTTTGACTTTATCGTTCCTCTAGGACGCCTGAGATTCAACGGTGGAACGCACTAGAAAACCCACCGTTACACAGATTGTGATGAGAGGATAACACGTACACTTCTCCAGAACGTCTTTTTCACTTTTTTTTGTTTTGTTTTACAAAGATCTACTGTAAAAAGAAAAAAAAAAAAAAAGAAAAATACAAAAAATTATTCAAAGAAAAATAGCTGAGAAGAAATGTATAGATGATACTGAGCATTGTTTTGTAAAAAATAAATTTTTGGGATACATTTGTTTTTGAAATAAAGCACCTTTTTTCTGTGACATGTTTCTTTGTTTTATAACTTGGCCTCAGATCTGTTTCGTGTTGGTTGGAGGGGTGAATGTTGAGGTCTTGGGTGTGACTGGTTGCTTCAGCTGCAGAAGTGTTCCCTGTGGGGGTCTCTTCTACTCTCCTGGAGGCCTCCAGGGATGTATTCCTCACGCCCTCTTTTCCTTTGCTGTGGTTAGCCTACTTCATCTCTGAATATCCCCTCAAGCTCTGAGCCTCATGCATATTTTGTGGGAAAGCCTGTGGCTAAAAGCTTCCTGTGGATGGGGGCTGAACTTCCTCTCAGACTTACCTAGGATAGCCTTAAAGTGGAGGGATTATGAACTTGTTGATTCTTGTGTTTGCACTGCTGTTCTGTCGATCTGTGTGAGGAGATGGGGGAGCTGGTTGACTAAGGGAAGATCAAGCACAGCTGTGGGACTAAATGGTGTTTGAGTGGTTTTTGTTTCATAGCCGTTGGTGAGTCTATCATCCTGTCCAATCAGCTGGTGGTGAGACAAGCTAGTAATTAGTTGTCAGAAGTTCCACGATGAATCAATGTCCGAAGTCAGCTCATGAAACGTGCCTCCAATCCAAGACTCATGGTGATCAGGGCTAAAATTAGTTCAGTAAAGCAGTGGTTCTCGTATATTTTCATGTGTTAGACCACCTTGCTCCCCAAATCTGGGGCAAACGGATGTGTAGCGTCAAAGTAATTACCTGTTGTTTTTGGTGTGTACAAATAACCCTTAGTTTATAACATTTATCTCGAAATGGCTAAAAGCTAATATCCAAGTTTAAAAGATGGTGTCAATCAAAATATACAATTAAATATCCATTATATTCGGTGGAAACCCATATGACACTTTCACATTGTGCAAAACTTTGACTGTTTTGTTCGTGTAATTAAAGGGTTAGTTCACCCAAAAATGAAAATTCTATCAGAATTTACTCACCCTCATGTTGTCCCAACCCCGTAAGACCTTCGTTTATCTTCGGAATACGAATTAAGATAGTTTTGATGAAATCTGAGAGCTGGATCACTCCTGCATACTAGTCCATAGGATTCTTGAGGAATTGAAACTTGCTAGCCTCAAAGTTATTAAAGACATCGTTAAAATAGTCTGAGTAACTACAGTTGCTCAATCTTAAAGCTACAATGTGTAACTCTTTTAGTTTATTCTTAGCTAAAAACACTTAGTTCTTTCAAAAATATATATGCTCATTAATGTATATTTAATTCGTTCAAGTGATAAAGTATTCTTGTGAGTGTATAATATGCCATTGAAAATACATACGGGTAAGGTGTTCTAATGTCGGTCGCCATGTTGACCCTCCATCTTGAAAGTACATTAGCCAAAGAGGGACATACCCGTTAATTAAAGCTTCGCCTTTCGCGTTTACGCTTCGGTTAACACTCATGGACGAGGTCGAACTGGAAGCCATGTTAATCTTCGACTACATTGGCCACCGTAGGAGTTAATACGAAATCGGAATTGAGAGGAACAGAACACAAACAGTGTTCTCGTCACTTGACAAAGTTAAGCTTGAGCCACTGTAGTCACTTGGACTTTTTTAACGATGTCTTTAATAACTTTTTGAGGCCGGCAAGTTTCAATCCCTCAAGAATCCTATGGACTAGTATGCAGGAGTGATCCAGCTCTCTGATTTCGTCAAAAATGTCTTAATTTGTGTTCCGAAGATGAACGAAGGTCTTACGGGGTTGGAACAACATGAGGGTGAGTAGATACTGACAGAATTTTCATTTTTGGGTGAACTAACCCTTTAATTTAAATATATTACATTAACCAGACTGGGCCTTTTGGCTATTGTACATTTGAGTCAACTGTTTGCTAAATGTGTAATTGCTAAATTTATGATGATAATAATAAATCTGCAAAATCTACAGTGAATGATTTCTGAAAGATCATATGACACTTAAAACTGGAGTAAAGAGTTACCATCACTTGAATACATTACATTTTAAAATATATTAGGATAGAGAACAGTTGTCAATTGTAAATGTTCACGATATTTAAGTTTTACTGACCCCAAACTTTTGAACGGTGATTTAAACAAAGTTGGTGCTTTTCCTCAAGTTTAAAACAGGCCACCAGAACCACAACAGTAAAGGAAGCAATAGAGCCTTTCTTCTGAACAATGCCATATATTGTTTACGTCAGTTATAGGAAATGGCACAAACATGCTCTTTATACAGTAGAGAATATAGAATAGGGACTTATTCCCTCAGGTATTTTAAGTCCAGCTTAATGTGTAATTCCTTGGAAAGTGAGGTAACCCACTGAAAGTAACAATTTCATTCACGCAGTCACCTTATCACGGGTGGGGAGGTCACCGTCTCTCACTGCACTGTTTGAATAGATTCACTAAGAGGCAGTATTACCTCCCCCTCCCTGATCCATGAGTGCTTCTGATTGGTTAAATTAGACCGGTAGAATGGTTTTGTTTGCCACAGCCCCCTTGCAGGCCATTGACACCGTCCCCATGGCAACAGACTCTTCCCAGGCTCATGACAGAGAGCTTGCTCTCTTGAGGGATACCTGTGTCTCCCGTCTCACTCGCAGAGAAAAAAGGAAAAAATAGGGAGAGCTTTTGAGAAAAGGGGGGAGCCAAAGACTAAGGTTAAAAAGGAGAACTGGGGGATGACAACGAAAATGCACGTGTGAAGTATATCAATTATAAAGATAAATTCCTTCCACAAAAGATGGTCCGTTTAAAAGACTGCGATCTGTCATTGTGACCAAGTCATGTTCTTCCTTTTTCCTTCCAGAGGGAATATTTCCATTGGATATTCCCTCTCTCAGATATCCATCTTTTATGACATATTTTTCCACTAATACATCACAGTGGTCATGAAGTCATTCCCTCAGTGGTAGGCTGTTATTAAATGTTCAGTGCTCCATTTTTAGAGTCTCTCACATTTATCAGAACTTGAACCTTGGAAAGTGTTACTGCACTTTATTATTTCACATGTCACCGATATACTAGGGTGTACAAGTGTGTAACCGAATATAGTGATATTAATTTGCCTCCAGATGGTTCTCAAGAAGACAAATAAAATGCTAAGGGGGGAATGCTGACAGATATGAGATACTCTTCAAGTCTTATTTCTGCAGTGAGCGCTTCAGATAGCGTTTAAGGTCTTTGTCAAACACTTAATGATTTGAGAGACCACCCAGAGTCAGCTTCTCTTCTCTACAGTTGTGCACACTAAAGTACCTTCATAAAAATCTGGCAGTTTAAACAATGGCAGCCAAGACAGGAGATGACCTCTGACTCTTGACCTTCATTTGTCAGAACAACCCCCCTCGACAATACTTAAGCGGTGGGCTTTCTCTTGTCTAGTGGCCTCTTTTAGAGACGAGAGACGAGCCCTTTTGGTTATCTGCATCATAAACATTTGCCCTTTTCAAGGACGTTTCTCCGTTTCTTTCCATTGCCCCACAGACAGTAATTCACAGTAATTAAGACTCATGGGTCGCAACAGAAACCCTTTCCGGTCCAACACAGACAAACTGCCTACCTGCACTCCAATATGGCGATCAGGTGTCAGCCAGCATTCCCCATGTAACATTTACCAGAATGCATTGTGGGGCTTCTTCCCAACCCAGCTCCTGTTATCAAATACCCGCCGAGAGTGTTGAATGAGTTACGGGCTGTCCGTGTCCGATACGACAATCTGAGACCTATAACAGTCAGCCTAGAAACACCTGATCCCTTTAATCAGGTTTAAAGATGCCTGCCACCCCTGAACCAGCTCTAAGCGAGTGTGAACTCATTTAATCCTCTGGGATCACCTCTGGGAATTTCTCCATCAGTCTCCAGGAACCTTAAATCTGCTTGGTAAACATCTTTTAGAAGGAATGGAAGCGCCTTCAAGGGATACGGTTCAAGTCTTGGCTCACCTGTGAAAGGTCTTAAGTCCAGCGGGGTTAAAGTGAGCCACCAAAATGGCATCTGAATTATGGAGAGGGCACTTTAGCAGGACAAAACAATTGAAGAGGGACCAACAGATGTTTGTGGAGGGTCGTAGAGAGAAATTAGGTCATGGATAAGGGGAAAAAAAGCTCAAAAGGGATTGTGCGGTTGTATTGACACTGACAAAGTCGACAAGTAGTCGTTCATTTAAGCCATTAGTCGGTTAATAGCAGGGTTATATTAATTTAATTATATACAGGAGGCGGAATTATAATAGCCTCGCGCTCAAGCGGCATAAAGCTTGCCGCAAAACCCTGGCAAAAGTAATGATTATAAATGTGCTGTAAATGCGCTTTAGCTTCCAAACTCCATTTGAACTCTTGGATGTGCACCTAATAGCGCAAATCTATCTAAGTTAATGTTAGAGTGGACGGACATGTAAAGTTGCTACTACGTTTCAAATGGTAAGTCGTATTTGAGGTCGATGGATGATAGGCGAACGTTTGGATTTCCTGCCCAACTTCCTGTGGAGTTTTTTTTTTTTGATACTAACCAAAAAATAACATTTTGGTTGACTAAGCCTCTTCTAGTCTACTAACGTTTAATTGATTATTAGGAGCAGCCCTACACAAAAATAACAAAAAATTGCAACACTATTTACAGTTTGCTTTTGTATAATCCAATAACCCTTATAAAAAACTAATAATAGTTATATGTGGTCGCACTTGTGGACCATGTTAAACCTTGAAATAAATAAATAATCATAAAAAAAGAAAAACTAATAATAAAAGGACACTTATGTGTACTTAAAGAGAGTATACTTTCATGATTGTTTCCACACTTACGTTTTTTTTATCAAAGTGCACTTTGTAATGTCAAATAAAAAATTTTACTTTAAATAACATTTTAAATCATTATGTTTTAATCAAGTTTTGTCAGATTTAAAAGTACAGTTATTTTGATGTGTTGACTAAAATGCTAAAATACTTTTATTTACTATTTACTACTCTTTACTATTTTAACATTCATTTTATAGTATTACTTTATATTTTGACATTAATTAAATTTTAGATAT